GAAGTCGACTGGGAAGGCGCTTCTGAGAAGCCAACTGAGAAGTCAACCGAGAAGCCAGCTGAGAAGTCTACTGAGAAGCCAACTGAGAATTCGACTGAGAATTCGACTGAGAAGGCTTCTGAGAAGTCTACCGAGAAGGGACAAGAAACGAAGAATGAACGGGTGAGAGAAGCTTAGATACCAGCGAAACATTTCATGTGAATGCTTATGCCGTCTACACCGCAGAAACTTTTGGTACGATCTCACAGCACCTAAAGGGGCATGACCATCTGTGGGGTGTCTAGAGTGGGGTGATGTTGACGGCCGTGATGTATTTTCTTATTTTTTTTCCTGCTTTATATAATTCGACAGTCGTGCACCATGAATATCCTTCTTGCCTGTTGTTTTTCTCTTTTTTTTTTGTGCCTTGAAGGTTTGCATGATCTTTTTTTTTTCCCTGCCTATACTTGACTGTGTTTCTATCGCTTCTTGTTTACGTGCAGACCTTCCCACAGCTCGTTTCTGGGAGTTCGTTCGTGAAGTTGTTCTTTCGGGTGGTGTCATTCTGTTGATTTGGTTGGAGCAGGCGTGCCGGAGTTTTTTTTTTCTATCTGGCGGGCTTTCATACCCCTGAGAAAGCGAACATGATACAGTGAGTCTGAGTGAGATGGGTGACGCTGGGTCGAGTTTCGAGGCGTTTCATTTCTACGCATGTTGGCACTTTTTCCGAGATTCGCCCGATATTGGTCTCAAAATCTTTGCATAGCAGATGTGTTTGAATGAAGGATATTTCAGCAGCGTATCACACGATCGTTCTGGTATATGAAAAGAAAAATAACGAAAAAAAAATTAAATGTGAAATTGAAGTTCTGCAGTTGCCTGTTTGGTAGATATGTTGAAAATTGAATGCAATTGACATGCCGTCACTGTTTTCGACTTTTCATGATGACATCACGCCGGCTGGCCAGTTGATGCCAGTATTACTACGTTACCTCTTGTAACAGAATATTATACATATTACTACTACTGTGCCATCTGGTATGCATATGGCCAAGTCCCTCCTGGCTGACTTGGGTTGTTTGGGTTGGTTGCGTTGGACTGGGTTGGGATTTCCTGTCGAACCTTATAAAGCTCTCCGTAAAAGCTACCTCCCTAGGCAACATGGATAGCTACGACAAACTCAATTCAATTATGCACTGTACATGTATGTATATGTACATGGATAGAGATTCCGCACTGCCAGTTTTTGATTCTGCATGCAATGCAATTCATATGGTAGGCAGATACTATGTATAGCTGGGAAGTAGCAGCAGTGGCAGTGGTAGTGGTAGGGTGGGACAAGAAACAAAGATGATGATAAATATAGAATGGAATATTACTCCGTAACGAGGCAGCCCACTTGTGTGGCGAAATAAAAATAAAAATAAAAATAAAAATCAGGGGGCTGCTATTTCTTTGTCAGGCCTACCTACCTATTCGAGAAAAAAAGAATTGAGTGTTACCTTAAAAGGAAGGTTGACTAGGATACCTAGGTAGGTACCTATCAAAGAAATGAATCTTTGCAAAGAGATGCATGCGTATGCCACCTATCTGCAAACAAGTCTGGGATCGATTATTTTATTATATCCTTGTAAAGACGCCAGTTGAGTGAGTTATTTACTTGTGTACAAGTAAATGTACGGTGCAGTATAGTGCAGTATGATATGCTGACGATCAATGGCTGCTCGTTCCTGGACATATCCATATCTATACAACTTGCGCATTCTGACCATTGTCATTATATCCCTCCCCATCCTTCCAATAAATATAACATGAAGATGCAGCCAACCTCATCGTCTATCATCATCCTCCCCATCGAGCTCCTCCAGCTGATCCTCTCTTACCTACCGGACATCACGTCCCTCCAAGCGGCCGTATCCAGCCATCCGGCCTTCTACGACGCCTTCCGCATGGGCCGCAGCATGGTCGTGACCGAAATCCTCACGAGACTGGTCACAGTGGAGCTGCTCCCCGAAGCGGTGGCCGTGTTTGAGGCCTGGTGTCGATGGCCCTGCACGAGGGAGGATTGCCGAGAGGTCATGGATCGGTTTGTTGAGATGCATAAGAACAAAGAGAAAAGCAGAGGCTTCTTGGTTGTTCCGGCTCCGCTCTCCCTCTACGAAGCATCCGCCTTCCAGCGAGTCCATCAAGATGTCTCGTTTTTTGCGGAGAGGTTTGCTTTGTCTGCGCTGGATGCTCTGCAGCAGCTGTCTACTAGTAGTAGTACTACTACTGCTGTCTGGCAGCCAGCTCCAGTATCGCCCCTCGAATGGCGACGTATCCAGCGTGCATTCTACAGATTTCATCTGTATTGCCTGCTTTGTCGACAGCTGGATTTGGATTATCAGAGAGAGGGGCCTGCTGCTTCCGCCGCTGCTGAGAGATCCCTCCTCCCCTGCCAAGTCGAGTATTTTGTCCAACGGTTCTCGCCCTGCGAAAGGGAGCAGATAGCCTGCGTGTGTGATTTTCTGTTCGAGGTGTTGGAGGAACGTACGTACTGCACCTACAGCACCTGATTCACTGAGGAACTTTTAACCAATTTCTGACCATGAACATGCAGCATTCACCGAAATTGCATCGCACGACATCTGGTGGGCACTGCAAGGCGTCCACTGGGTCGACCTCTGGCCACGAGACGCGACGGACAATGCATGGAAGAGGAATTTTGTCAGTACATCATTCATCTTGCCCTCCCTAAAAAAAAAGCAAAGAAATGCTTACTTGCTGGATGTATGTTTGTACAGCTCTCCTACGGACTCACCTACCTCCGCCGCGTCGTCGAGGCCAAGACGTACGACGAGCGGTATCAACTCCTCACTCCGAAGCTGGGGTTTCAGCAGGTGTTTCTCCAAAAGTGGCTTCAGTGGGAGGAGGAGTCTGAACAGAGTAATCATGGCGATGGTGATGGTGGTGATTATTATAACCACCTCCTAAGCTCAGACCCCGATCCAGGCCCCGAACTTGCCTTTGCCCAATTGCAATTCCATCAGGGGAGTTATGATAATGATACTCCGAGTCAGAATCAGAATCAGAGTCAGAATCAGAGTCCTGACTCAAAACGACACCAGATTATGCCAATGACAACAGCAGCAGGAGCAGCAGGAACCCCCTCCCTCCGCACGGCCCGTCTAGCAGGGTACGTAATGTGGGATCGCGCAAGAATCCTCAACAACCCCAGTAACAACTTCAACCTCAACTTCGACTTCTACTCCGCAGAGACAGCAGCACCACAGCAACGACAGCTAACACCCACAGAATGGCTTCACCACCAGGACGCACGCCACTCGCTGTTCCGCCGTCGCGAGCTCTTCCTCCGCGGTGCAAGGGGGTGGTGGAGTAAGGATGATGAGAGTAGGTTGGAGTGGACGGGGGTGGATTATTATAATTTAGATGAAATATGAATGAATGAATGTACCTAGCTGCTCGGGTTTTTTTTTGGTTATGTCAAAATATCAAAAATATTACCCGGGAAGGAAAAAGAAAAAAAAGAATAGAATAGAAGAACAAGGTATGTATGTAGTGTACATGTATGTATTGTCAATGACGAGGTGATTGTCTCCTGAAACAAATGATTTTTATTCTGATCTCGTCTACTAGACTAATCAGGTGCTATTTACTTACCAGGGTATATATTATCAGACATGCTACTATACTACTAAGGACAAGTTGGACGTGAATCTTTTTTTTATAAATTTTTTCCCTTCAACTAAGCTAGTTATCTCTCTAAACCAATCTTTCAGCCAGTCTAAAATAATCAATTAAAAGTAAAGTATTACTTTGTTATTGTTTGTTGAACTTCCTTCCTTTTTGGGGTGGGTACTCTTGACGTTTCTTTTTGATCGTTAAGATACTTCTTCCTCCACACCTGTCAATGTAATGCCGGTTTATGCAGCCCGGCTAATTGTCACAGTAGGCGACGGACGGGATGTAGGAGGAACGCTCGGCGGGGAGGTCGGCGGGCGAGAGGTCGGAGGCGGAGGAGGAGGACGGACGAGAAGTCGGTGGTGGTG